AAGAATATTTTCCCTTTTGCAAGAAAGTTAAGCCTAACGTTTTCACCCAGTAGCTTTTCACCCACCAGCAATTCCTTCTACTGTTCCCTGTTTTTGGCAGCTATTTTTTCAGTGTTTTACATTTATTTTATAGTGATTTTGCTGTTGATTTTGACTTACTAGTTTTTAATACGTTTTTTAAAAATTAGTTTTTATTGAATTTTTGTGTGTTTCATACAGAACATTTCAAACAATCTTAATCATCTTTATACCCCTGTCCCCCACCAGCACCCTCCCATAGCCCTCCCCCGACTGGAGCCCATATACTCTGTCATCCCTGTCATGACCCACTGTGTCAAGTCAGTGAGTCAGTGATGGGATAAGTCAGGGGCTCCTGGAATGTAGAGCATGGCTGCCAGGCCGGATACCTCCTAGTGAGGACGGCAGGAAACTGGCTGGCTCCATTCTAGATATGCTTTTTCTTACCCAACAACCTCCAAACAAAACTATTAAGTCCCTAATCCTTTAATTCTAACCAGGTCTTTTGTAGATTATGTGACTGGAGGACAGGACAAAGGCCACACAGCCTTTGAAGCCCCTTCCCTCCCCCTACCTGCCATATGTCTCATGCATAATACCACCATCACCCCAAGTTCACACGAGCTAGCTTTCAGTGGCCTAAAAGCCTCTGTTTCGCTATGCTCATGGGCCTACTTTTGCTCTTACAATCTTTCCACCCCCTCTTCCACAATGGTCCCTGGGCTATGGGTTGGTGAGGTTTAATATAGGATTCTTATCCTGGGACTCTGCAGTCTCTTATTCTCTTAAACTTAGCTAAGTGTGGCCTTCTGTGTGCATCACACTCTGTTGTGTAAGGAAGCTTTGCTAGTGTGAGTTGAGGGAGGTGCTAGTATTCTCTCCACCCTCCCCACCCCTGTTCCACTATGTTCTATGAGCATTAGTTTTACAGTTCCCACTGTAGATGTATCACTTAGGGCTGGGGTTCGCTCAGATGTATATTGTCCCTGTGTCCACTTGTGGAAGTCTGCAATAGCCTCCATCTCTTGGAGAAAGAGCCTTCTTTGATTATTGGTACACTTGTCTGTAAATATGAGGATCTATTTTTTTTTTTTTTTTGATCTTTTTGAGACAGAGTCTCCCTGTTGCCCCAGTTGGCCTGGAACTCACTATGTAGACCAGGCTGGCCTTGAACTCACAGAGATCCGCCTGCCTCTGCCTCCTGAGTGCTGGGATTAAAGGTGTGTGCCACCACGCCCGGCGTGGAGGATCTGTATTTTTAGCATATGGTAAGAAATTCTATTTGGGACATATGACCTCTCCAACCATGCATATTGGGCTATAATTTCAGTGCCACCCATGAGTTCCCTCCCACTGAGAGGGCTTTAAGTCCAATTAGATAACTGTTATTTATCCCCCAAATAACAGTGTCACTACTGTGCCAATAGAGGTAGTTTGCTGTGCCAGTCATTATGGTTATTAGGCTTCAGAACTGGTTTGGACCATTGGTTGATTTTCTCCCTTGGCAGCTTGCATAATATCCTCTGGAGCTGGGAGAGCTGGTCTTCAGGGAGGAGGCTTCAAGGTCAGTTCTAGCTCCATAGCTCCAAGTCCTGTGTCCCAAGTATGTCCTGTCTTCAGCAGTAGGGTCTTACCTTCAAGTTCTGGGAGATAGTCAGGGGCTTAGGCAATCGTCTGTGTTATCTTGGGAGCCTCTTGGACTACTCTGACCAACAGCTCAACAGGAGATCTCTCTCATCCACTGTTTCCCTTGCCATATAGCCCCCAGGTATAGTGATGCAATTATGTTCGGACACCATATATGTGTTTCTCATGGGGCTCCGAGCCAGCACATTCTGTCTTCCCATGCCACTCAGTCTCCACTCATCTCTTCTCTCTCTCCCTTCGTCCAGCCTCCCTCCTTCCTCCAAGGGCCCTTATTTTCCCTATAGCCCCCACAACACCTGCTTCCCACCATCCCCCTCTGCTAAGTTTACTCCTCCCCACTCCCATGGTACTCTCCGTGTCCCTCCCCCTCCTCGCAAAGGCAGACACCCCTACTTTCCCCACCACTTTCCTGGTAACGTCAGTTCCCTGCTGGCCTCTTTCAGCCTCTTTCCCTTCACTTCCATGTTTCCTTAACTGGCTCCTGCTGCTGTAACTGGATATACAAATCACATTTCTTCAGTTGGAAATTCACATTCAACTTTGCAATGGCTTTGGCCAGTTTTGCACACGTGAGGGATTGGTGCTCTCATCTGCAAATGAGGGAGAATATACGTCTCTTACTTTTCTGAGTCCGTGTTACTTCACTTACAGAGTTCTACTCATTGGTAAGGAAAGATGAAATTATGAAAATTGCAGGCAAATGGATGGAACTAGAAACTGTTATACTAAGCCTCCCTTATTTTATAATTCTCAAAAGAAATGTAACAAATCAGAATCCTCACCTTTTCCCGGGAGTGAGTGTGTAGAGATGTGTGGAAACCTTCATAAGGGTAAAAAAAACCCAAGATTACTTTGAAAAAGAAATTGCAAGAAAAGTGTACACAACAATGTAAATTTCACATATAATTTTAATGGAAAGGAACTATTCCCACTCATCTGCATACTGTTGATGATGACTCCTTCACTACAGTGGGGGAATTGACCCCTTGCTGAAGTGATCTACTCGCTCTGAAACAGGAAAATGATTAACCTTCTGATCCTCCTCAGATAATGTTTCCTTCTTCAGAGAAGCCTATGGGTCAGTGTTCAAACCCATTCCAAAGACTGGTCACACAGTGGAATTCGTATCTTCCTATTCCATTATTGTTTCCCAGTATTTCCTGGTGTTAGATCTCAATGATCCCAACTTCTTTGCAAAGAGCTCCTTTTTATTCAGGAGAGCTTTGGCATCACTTGCTGCAGTATCAAGGAAGTAACTTTGCAAAATATATGTCTTCCCGAGGTAAAGGCCACTGGAAATTGGCCCCCCAGTGATTGAAGAAACAAATTCAACATTTTCCCATAGTTTTTCAAGAAAGGTCTTGTCTTGGACTTCTCTCAACAGATGTGGAGACTTGATGTACGCCTCGAGGTCATTCACAGACATATTAAAGTCCTTGGCAATATTTTTCAGTGAGCCATGATCCAGACCAAAGTAAGACCTGTAGAGATTCAAGGTCTCTTCCATATTGTCATCTATGTACATGCCCCCTAATGGAAGAGTGGCTATTAACCCACTCTTCAGGGCCTCTAGATAGACTTTCTGCTTCAGGGAATCCCTCTTTAGGTTAATGGCGTCCTCTGTCACACTCTGCAGGGACAACATGAAGATGTGGCGCTTGTGGGCTGGGAGCTCACTCAGGAGGGTGGACTGCAGTTGGGGAAAGTCATAATCAGCCACATCAAAGCTAGAGACTAAGAAGACTGGAGGATTTCTGCAGAGAGCCTCACAGAGATGTCTCAAACTGTCATCCCGAATTCTCTGCAGGACACTCTCCTTATTGAAACTCTTGGGTTTACTCCTTTGCTCATTGCTTATATCATTATCCACCTTGGTTCGAACAAAGTAGAAATTCAGATTCATCTTTGCAATGGCTTTGGCCAGCTGTGCATCATTTTCTTTGAAGCGCGTAGCAGAGATGATGATGAAGAAATCATACTCTTGAAACTTCATTTCCGTGAGGTAATTTTCTGGTTTGAAGGTGGTGGACCCAATGCCGGGCAGGTCCCATATTGTCACTCTGGGGAACTTTGGGTGTTGGTATGGTGTTCTCTCCATGGTGGTCTCCACTGCCCCAGTGGCAGCTGAACCTTCTTCTTCATGCCCCAGTCCCCTCAGGGCATTGATGAACGTGGACTTCCCTGCCCCAGACTCCCCTGTCACAGCAATGTTCAGTGGGGCATTCTCAATATCTCTCACTGCATCACTGATTACGGAAAGTGCTTCCTGGGTATCTTTATTTTTCAGGTGGTTTTCAATCAACTGAATCTGGTCCTCAGAGATGATTTTACTTTCCCTCTTGAAATTCTTAAAAAATCTGTCAAAGTTGGAGGTCACATCCAGGTTCACTGAAGGAGAAGTTGCAGACGAGCTTGGCTTGTCCATGGCCTTTGTAGCGGATGCTGAATGAAGGAGGGGAGAGGGAAATTGTGCATGTTAGCAAACCAGGGCAAGGTCTAGGAGTTTGCTGTTAGAGGAAGGCAGGACCTCGGCCTCTGTACCACATTAGACTAAAAAGGATCTTTCCTCCCCATTCCCTTAAAAAATCTGTCAAAGTTGGAGGTCACATCCAGGTTCACTGAAGGAGAAGTTGCAGACGAGCTTGGCTTGTCCATGGCCTTTGTAGCGGATGCTGAATGAAGGAGGGGAGAGGGAAATTGTGCATGTTAGCAAACCAGGGCAAGGTCTAGGAGTTTGCTGTTAGAGGAAGGCAGGACCTCGGACTCTGTACCACATTAGACTAAAAAGGATCTTTCCTCCCCATTCCTGGACACTGCCTAGACTTCGAGCTTGGCATTCAAGTACCCTTTTGCTTAGGCTTTACTGTCTCCCAGAAATTTCCTCATCCTTCCTTGTCTAATTTAAAGCCCATTTCCTCTATGATGCTACCTATCTCAATCTTTATTACCATTTTAAACTTTTCTTTAGATTCCTTTAGTTTTCTTAAAATGATGCCCAAATTGGGTAACCACCCTAAAAGGACAGATTAGTATGTGAAAAGTAAAAGGAGGAGCGCACGTCATGACAGGCTCTCGACCTAATGTGAACTCTTAGTACATTACTTCTAGGTCCTTAAATTCTCGAGGGCTCTGGCCTCTTTACATTGGAAATTGTTTTGCTGTATAGTCTCTACATAAATGGAGAATGAACAAAAGGTGGGGGATGGAAAAGACTGTTTTAATGAGCTGTGCAGCCAGCTTTAACTTCCCTTTTTTTCTCAATAGAGGAAGCAGGGCATGGCTGCAGTGGTAGACAGATTTTTAGCAGGTCCTCCAGTGACCACTGCTGCCTGATATTCAGACCCTCCAGTTGTGCACATCTCTTTATTGTCTTCTCTTAAGTAAGTACTTTGGGAACAAAGTCAATGTTTATGCAGAAAAGGCAGGGACCAGAGCTCCATAGATTATCCACCCAGAAACCACAACAGGTTTTAACAGGATGCCTGGGAGAATCTAGCTAAACTTTACTCTATAATGTTGACTAGCTTTGTGGAATAATACTTCTTACCACTCACTGATTCAGATACTACAGTAAATACACACATTAACTGGAGAAGAAAGAAAATAATTGTAGAATTTGAGTACTGTTAGAAGGAAAGGGATCAGTGTGGAGACCACACCCCAAAGCCTATACTTCACAGTTTTCTTCTAAGATTTCATAACCAACAACAGGCCTTTCTGTGCTACATTGCAGGATCTTCTCTTCAAAATGCTGATGAGAGCCAATTTGCTTACTCCACACTCTATGATGACACTATATCTACACAGTGCCACTAACTTGCCTGCTTGCTGTCCTCCTGTCACATATCCTACGAAGTCCTTAACAGCTTCAGAGATTCTCCAACACTCAGTGTCTGTTGGCCCTCTCTTCTTGCTGTCTGCCCTGTGAGGGCAGCACCCCCGGCTACTCACCTACCCATTCCTCCAGGAGGTGAGCATTCATGTTATTGAGCATTGTGTCCCCCAGTTCACTTGCCCACTCCCGTGCTGCTCATCTTATGTGACAGAGCCTCCAATGCTCACCAACCTGCTGCCTGATCCAAAACAGGGAAGTAAATAAAGCAATATATATAGAAAATAAATTCACTCAATGACCTAACTCCTTATAACAAATCCAAACAAATAAAAATGGTAACAGGAAAAACAAAAAGGTGTAGTCCCCTCCCAAGAATATAAATTGCAGAGTAATGGCCCCTGATGAGAATGACTTAGATGAAATTTCAGACAAATAATTCAAAAGGATGATTATAAATATGATCAAGGGAAATAAAGAAACCTCAAGCTGCTAAGTACAAACAGAGGTCACTGAAAAGGTATTAAAATGGAATTTCACAAAGAGAAAGAAATTCTGAAGAAAACCCAAATTCTAGAGATTAAAAGTTCATTAAATGGGGTTGAGGGTTTAGCTCAGTGGTAGAGCGCTTGCCTAGCAAGCGCAAGGCCCTGGGTTCGGTCCTCAGTGCCGGGGGAAAAAATTTCATTAAATCAAATTCTCAGTGGAACGTGTCACCAATAGAATGCTTCATACTGAGGACAGATATGAGGGGGTTGAAGAGTTTTAAAGGAGTTACCTTACAACAGGGGGACAATGCCCCTACTAGACAACAGAGCTGGCAATGTAAAAGCCCAATGCCAGGGATGGGCCCCATCTTTGGAATCTCTTGACCAGGAGTCCCATAGGCCCTCAAACAGTACTGGCCATTGCCCCTGCATTGGTTACCCACCACAACTTCTTACCAGAACTTCACGGTAAAACCCTATATAGCTGAAGCCACTACATACATGAACTGTAGAATAAACAAGGAGGAATCACACTGGTACTGACTTCGAATCCTCATTGCCACTGGCTAGCCTTCATAGTGCCAGAAGGTGGTATGCATGCTACCTGAAGAGAAAATTAGTCATCAACCTTATCCAGTTGTGGATCCTGGGAGCTACAAAAACAACTACACTCCAAGATGGGCCCACCAGTGCAGTAGTGACACAAATATTATGTGAGGACCCCATACCTGATACTGATTCCAGACCTAGCAACCTATCAATAGACAAATCATAGGACATAGGAGAGAGTCTAATACTAGTTTTATGCTAAATAGATACAGTATTAAAGTGACTTAATGCTTATTGCTACATCCTTAGATTAATGCACTGCTCCCCTCTCAGCAGAGAAGCTTCCCTATGCAGCAGATGGTGATTAATACCGAGAACCACAACCAGCCAGCATGCAGAGAACAAGATGCTGTAGAGTGGGTATCCCTGAATAGGACACCTAGATGAAACTTCTGAATCCCAAGAATCATGGAACTTTGTGGAGAAGGTGACAGAAAAATTGTGAGAGCAGGAAGAGGTAGACGACCACAAGGGAACAGAATTTTCCAGACAGCTGGACAGTTATTCATATAAACTCACAGCAATGGTGACAGCATTTACAAGTTCTGTGTAATCTCAAATAAGACAAAATTCCAGCGTAGAGGTGGGGAAGTGGGTAAGAGACCCCAACCCTACCTGAGGAACTATTGGCAACTGATGGCTGCTGGGAAGGGAAAAGTTGGTCTCTTTCAAGGGTGCGTCTTTTGGTAGGTTAACCAGGCTGCAGTGGATGGATCCACACTGAAAGAAATCTGGGGACAGTAATTGGAGTCTATAGGATAATTATAAACAGAGTGCATTAAATTGGGTGGGAGCTAGTAAGGGGAGGTGTGGGTGTGGATAGGGGAGGGAATCTAAATATAATAAAAATATATTGCATGAAAATTGAAAAAATTCAATTAAAAAGGGAGAGGGCAGTTGTTTTAGAACACCAAGCTTTAGGGAAAATTGTAAACAACCAATATATAAGGAAAAGGGGAACATATACCAATGCGAGTTACTATAACTTTTCTTTTCTTTTTTTTTTCTTTTTTTTTTTTTTGGTCTTTTTGAGACAGGGTCTCCTTGCAGCCCCAGCTGTCTTGGAAGTCACTATGTAGACCAGGCTGGCCTTGAACTTACAAAGATCCGCCTGCCTCTACCTCCCAAGTGCTGGAATTAAAGGCGTGCACCACCACACCTGGCTACTTATTTCATGTGTATGGGTGTATTGCCTGCATGCATGTGAGTGCACCCATGTCATACGATGCCTCGGAGGTCAGAAGAGTGTGTCAGATTCTCCTGGAACTGGAGTTAAGGATGGTTCATATCTGCCATGTGGGTGCTGGCAATTGAACCCGGGTCCTCTGCAAGAGCAGTCAGTACTCTCAACTGCTGAGTTGTCTCTCCAGCCCCATGCTGCAACTTTTCTATAAATCTGAAATTATTTCAAATAAAATGTAAAAAAAAAAAAACCCAAAAAAACTCCACTTGGAATATTTGGTCAAAAACTAGCAGAAAAATGGAGTGTGTGGAATCTTTGGATACCGTGAAATGATCAAATCTGTGGATTATGGGTAGGAAGAAGGAGCAGAACTGCATACCAACATCCTAAGACATTTTTCCATCCTTAGTAAAATATTTACCAAATTTAGGAAAAAAAATGAGCATCCAGGATTACAAGAGGCATAACGAACGCTAAATAGATCAAAAAAGAAATGTCCCAAATCAGATTATTATTAAATCAATAAATATAAAGAAGAAAGTGTTTTGGATGCTGCAAGAGAGAAACACTGAATCAAATATAAAGGCAAGGCCATCAGAATAACAGACTTCTCAGCAGAAACTTTGGAAGTCAGAAGGGTTTAAAATGATGCATTTCGAATTCTGAACACTAGAGCTTCTAGCTGAGACTTTTTTTTCCCTATAAAACATTTTAATGATTTAATGCAAATGAACCAGAAATGGACCCACTGCATTTTGTTCAGATGTACACAGGGTTTAAATTAAAGGGGAAATGCTTACAGATAAGCTTTCTGATTTTATTGAACTGAAACTGTTTCTTAGACTGATTCTATGCTAGAAAGAATTAAAGCAGAATACATTGCTTTTCTTAAAACACAGTACTTGGGTAAATCTTTTAACTCACAAGTTTCATACTAGTCAACATTTTTTTCACTGTATATAATTTTTTTGAATTTTTGTGGATTTCATGCTATACATCTTAATCATATTTAGCTTCCTCTCCCATCAGCAACCACCCCCCCCCATAGCCCATCCACAGGGCTTCATGCATTCTGTCCTATATGTCAAGGCTTATCGAGTCAAGTTGGCGAGCTTGGATCTCCCTCTGTGTTAGTTCATTCACCAAAGCCTGTTCAGCTTGTCTTGTTAGAGATCAACTCTCCATCACCCAGCAGTGATCAATTGTTCCTCAGTTAAAGATGGGGTCTCCTCCCACTGAAGGGGTACTCCAGTTGCCTCACCCTGCGTCCCTGTTCAGCATGGAAGAAGCCAGAGCGGTTGGGGTCCCTATTCCCTATTGGCAATTTGGGTAACCCCTCAGAGGATGGCGTGATAAGAATAGGAGGTAGGAATTGGCTAGGCAGTTAGGGTAAAAAGACCCCAAAGAAATGTAGCCAGTTTCTTGGCTAAAAGTCAAAATGTCCTTGGGCCTGTTAGCAACATACTCTGTTCCAAAGGCCAAAAATGTCAAAAGTATTTGGGAGCTTGTATCTAATCCTTAAAAGATTTTAGGGTTACCTCTTCAGAGGGGGGGATGTTGGAGGGGAGGGAGTGGGCATGGATTTGATCAAAACACCTTATATGCATGTATGAAATTCTCAGTAAAGTTTTTGTAAAAATTTTAAAAAAGATGGGTCTCCTGCCCATTTCCCCAGTTCTATGCTGGCTTTTGTTTGTTTGGATTTGCATGGGTTTTGTACATGGTATCACCGTTGCTGTAAGTTCATATGAAGAAGTTCCTGGGAACTTGTAAGACTCTGTTTCCTAATGATCATGTACTACCCCTGACTCTTACAATCTTTCTGCCCCTCTCCCACAATGACTCCTGAGCTCTGGGTGAGTGAGGTCGAATACAGGAGTCCTCTCCAGGGACATGCATTCTGCAGGTTCTCATTCCCTACACTTCGGCCAGTTGGGGCTTTTTTTTTTTTTTATCGTCATCTGTTGTATATGGAACCTTCACTGATGAGAGTTGAGAGATACCTTAGTACTCTCTTTGTCCTTTGATCCACTATGTTCCATGAGCTTTAGCTGTAGAGGTTCCATTGTAGACATATCATGTAGGGCTGGACAGCTCACAGACAGGTATGCTGTGTGTTTTACCAGCTGTGGAACTCTGGAATAGTTTCTGTCTATTGCAAAAGAGTTTTTTTGATGAGTGGTGACTGGTATACATGTCTGTAAATATAAAGATCCACATTTAACATACAGTAAGAAATCACATTTGTCTAGGGATATGACAGACATAGGTTTTTCTCTCAGATCTATGATCTCTAGCCATGTGTATTTGGCTATGTCTACAAGGTGACACATGAGTTCCCTTGCATTGGCTTTAAGTCCAATTAGATACCTGCTGATTGCCCCCAAGATAAAAGTGCCACTACTACACCAATCTAGTCTGCTGTGCCAGTCATTGTTGCGGTTATTAGGCTTTACATCTGGGGTTTGGACCATTCATTCACTTTTCTCCCTTAGCAGCTTGCATAGTATCTTCTGATACTGTGAGAGCTAGTCTTCAGGGAGGAAGCTTCCAGCTTAGTTCCAGCTCCAGTGCTCCAGGTTCTGTATCTGAAGTATGTCCTGTCTTCAGCAATTAGGTCTTACCTTCAAGTTTGGGAGGTAATCAAGGGCTGCGGCAATAGCCTGTGCCATTTTGGGAATTTCCTGGACATTCCTGACCAGCAGCTTGTAGGGAGACTTCTCCTGTCTGGCACTGTGTTTCTTGTTATACAGCCGCAGCTATTCATATGCACTCACGTTCAGATATCACAAGTGTATTTTCAGTAGGCTTTTGAACAGACGTGTATACCAGGCAAAGTTTTCTGTTATGATTGTTGGAGAAAGAAAAACATTCCACGATGAAAGCTGGCTAAAGGAATTTACGACCTTTAAGTCAGCTCTACAGAGTGTATTGGAAGAAGCGCACAGGACTGAAGAGATAAAAACATCTAAGAGCCTATAGGCAAGAAAATAAATGACGCTTGGACAGTACTTAACTAAATGAATCTCAGAAAACCACCAAGCACTACAAGGTCGACAACATGACAAGAATTAATTAATGCCTCTCAGTAATAGCTTTGAACATCAAGGGTCTCAGTTCTCCAATCAAATGACAAAGATTAGCAGACTGGTTTAAAAAGCATATTTCATGCGTGTTACCTCCAAGAAGCACACTTCACCATAAAAGACAGACACTACTTTACAGTGAACAGAGGGAAAAAAGTATTGCTGGCACAGAGACTGAGGAAAGAAGCAGGCATCCCTGTTACAATATCTGACAAAGCAGTCATCAAACCGATACCAAGCAGAAGCCATACAC